GGGCAGCCTTTCAACCCCGGCCCCAGCCTGCGGGATGCTGCAGCTGCAGGCGGTCGGCCACACCACAAGCAATTACTCCTCCTTCAGCGTGACCAGTTAGAAATGTCCCCTGCTAGGACAGGATTTAGGATTTTTCCCAATGGATTATTACCACGTATTTGCAATATAAAAGTAATTACTGTGACGCATAAATTAACCATGGGGAAACCTAAAATATTATCAGTTAGGACCTGATAGCCCAAAAACTCAACCTCGGTTATGTGGACATCTCTGAGCAGCTCATGGTGCCATCAAACTTGAAAGACAGAGCTGAAAAAGTAATCTGAAAGGATGCTGTTAACACATTAAGGTAGTTCAGTTGTTACAGAGGGTTTTGATTAAAGGCAGCTCCTTTCTGAGAAAGGCCCTAGATTGGGATGTCAGTATGCTTAAGGGATTCATCTGAAAGGAAGAAACTGAGAGGCAAAGCAACACTTTTAAGGCAAAAGAAAAAGAAATAAAATTTGGGGGTTGTTGTGACGAAAGTAAGCGGCCGAGACTCTCCTGGTATCAGGTTTGTGCTGTGAATACTGAAGATGAAGGTGATATTCTCTCATTTATCTTCTCTTTTCCCAGAACTGAAAACCAATTCTCTTCATCAACATTTTCTATATTTCTTGTTGTCATACTTCTAATTTAATCTTCAGCTTCATGTACCTGAAATTTAACCTGCTGAATCTCTCCATTGATGAGTATTGTTCCTCACAGGAAGTGGTTTAAGATTAAATATGATTAATACTTTTGTGTTGTAAATTCTAAGATAGCTTGCCATTACTGCCAATATAATTGTGCAGCACTCACAAAATACGGATGTTCAAGATTACATTCAGTTCACGGTGAATACAGTGACCGGGGGTTGGACTAGATGATCTTTAAAGGTCCCTTCCAACACAAACATCCTATGATTTTATCAACATATGTGATTTTTTATATCTGTCCAGCTGTTTCAATACTACAGTGTGTTGTTTTTGTGGTGAGTTTTCGTATAAAATGTTTTACAGGCATAGCAAGAAAAGCTATAAATTTAAAATGCCATAATCTAAACACAATTTTGGAAGCTGCATGAGTCCTTGTGGGGAAAAAAAGTCATTCCGGAACAAGAGGGCTGTACTGATATAATCTGCAAGTCAGACATACTTTAAGTTAATGTGAGGATAGTGTGAAACAGCAGCTGTGGGTAAACTTGTGGACCTACTGAAGTCAATTGAAATTGGGGCCATTGACTTCAGCGGGGCAGGAATTTGCTCCATGTCTTCTAAAGCGAGCAGCTTTAGGAAGATAAAATGTCTTATGCTCAGAGTTCCCAGGCTGCTGGCTCATCTTTATAGTTGTGATCCCTGTTGTGTGCGAGACCCTGGACGAATTTCTTTCTGTTTTCTCAGGTTTCACACTTGTTAATTTGGAAAATATATACCTACATGCATATGTATGTATGTATTCAAGCATATATGCATATATATATTTATTTAACATGTCTCTAAAACATATGTATGTATCATTATGTGTATCTAATTTATGGTGTGTATGTATAATGTATGGTATATACGATATATATGGTGTGCATATACATAGATACACAACAGCATTAGAAAGTATATTAGTGTCTGTGGGAAATACTGACAGCCTTTGAAAGAAGCTGCTAAACAATGGTCTGAGGTAAAATTATGCACTCCATTTCCTTCTTGCTCTGACACCTTAAGTGCTCATCCTGTCCTACTGTTAGCATTAGTGAATTTTATTCCTAATTTCCATGTATTTTCCTGTCTAGTCCATTTTCTAATCTGATCCTGAACTTCTCTGTAGAATTTTTAAACATATGTGATCGGTCACGTTGTTTAAATTTCTCTCATCTGTGTCTCCCTGAGCACAGCAAATTCAATTTTAATATATAAGTACATTGTATCTCATTCAACTACTTGTGTGTATTTCCAAAAGCATTTCACTCTGGAATATCAAATCATCATTGAGCCACCCTGCAAAAATCAAATCATAATTTGCTATAATCAAAACATAATTATTTTCCTATAATCAAAACTGCTGCTGTGCACTGCTGCTATGGTTGTGCACCCCAACTTTCCCACCTGCAAAGCACAACACTTACAGCTCTGCGCAGGAAGGCGACGCTGGAAAAGATGACTTGCATTGAATGTTTCATAACAATTGATCTCAATCCAAATACTTTTTTATATTATTCTATTTATAGCCATATAAGAATTTAAAAAGTGAGATTTATTTGCAGAGTAATTGAACTAGACTTTTTCATCTTTTGTGAATCAAAGTTTTGACGGTGTCATTGGTCTACAGAGAGAAAAGAATTGCAGAGAGGAATGAGGAGGACCTGCAAACAAGGCTGTCAAGCCCAGCTATTCAAGCATCCTGAATCTGGCCTTAACTAGACACTACACTCAAGTTCAGCCACAGAGAGCAGAATTACGTCAGTGCAACTTTCATCTGTTTACTTTTCTCTGAACACGGTACTTCCTTTCAGACAGCACTTTCTTTCTAAGTGCACTACAGCGATACTTGTTGGGCAGGTACCTACCAAAACACCCATCTGATGATGTTATCCGGAGGCAGACTGTACCGTTCTTAATGTTATTCTTTTTTTCATTACCAAAGCTCTCAAGAAATTAAAAGGTAGCTACCTCTGGGGTTTTGCTTTTTTAACAGCTATGTATGGACAGCGTTGCTCACTTTATAGCGCTGCCTATACCCTACCGGGACTTTGATAATGAAGTAGTAGTAGTAGTGTTTGCCTGCTTACACAAGAGGATTCTCCCTGGCGGGGGGCCCTTACGCCGCGGCATGGGCTGGCTGACTGCCCGCACGCTAGCCAAGGCGAACTCCTTTTTCCCCTCCCATCTGCGCCCTGCCCGCCAGGTCTCAGCAAGGCACCTTCCAGATGACTTGCATTTGCGAGGAACTTGCACCTTTGACGAACTGCAGCTAGGGCTCGACCCAGCAGAGCACCCCCCCCCCCCTTCCACGCCTGTTCCCAAGCACACAAAGCCTCGGCGGGAAAAGCATTCTTTAAAGCCGAGCGCTTAAACACGCCTCCGGCCAACTGCCTCGCGCTCGCCTTTCCAAGCCCCGATTTTACCGCCGGGGGCTTCGCCGCCGAGCTTTCCCTGGACGCGACGGCCCCTTCGGCGGGGGGGCCACGCGCTCGCCCCGAGCTCCGGGCCCG